TTTTACTTGAGGAACTCGGCGGTGCCCCCATTGTCACTCACTGGTTTGAGGAGCTCGACAACATCTCTCAATCGATATGAGTATTGACGTCCTTTGTGAAGGTGGATCTTGGAACCTTTGGTGGATACTCGGTGGTGATCCTTGGTTTGACTTGAGGAACTTAGTAGTGCCCTCATTGTTGTTTCCTGATTTGAGGAGCTCAACGGCGTCTCCGAATCGAGATGAATTTTGTTGACGTCCTTTATGAAGATGGACCTCGGAACCTTTAGCGGATACTCGGCAGTGATCCTTGGTTTGACTTGAGGAACTCGATGGTGCCCTTGTTGTTGTTTCGTTTCCTGATTTATGTTGCTCGGCGGCGTCTCCAAATTGAGATGAATATTGTTAACGTCCTTTGTGAAGGTGGACCTCGGAACCCTTGGTGGATACTCGACAATGATCCTTGGTTTGACTTGAGGAACTCAGCGGTGCCCTCGTTGTCGTTTCCTAATTTAAGGATCTCAGCGGCATCTCCAAATCGAGATGAATATTATTGACATCCTTTGTGAAGGTGGACCTCGGAACCTTTGGCGGATACTCGACGAGCTTGGTTTGACTTGAGGAACTCGATGGTGCCCTCGATGTCGCTTACTAATTTGAGGAGTTTGACGGTGTCTCTCAATCGAGATGAGTATTATTATGTCGGTCTCTCCAGGCTGCCTACTTGGGATGATGAGTAATATTGTGCCGGCCTCTCCAAGTCGCCTGCTAAGATGGTGAGTATTATTGTGTCAGCCTCTCCAGGCTGCCTTATGTGATGATGAGTATTATTGTACTAGCCTCTCCAGGCTGCATGTTGTGATGGTGAGTATTATTGTGTCAGCCTCTCCAGACAGTCTACTGTGATTTCTATGATCTGATTGCCTCCTTTCTTTGGCAAGAACGTCTGATGAAGATGAGGATCGCTTGTAGGTAGTGCCCCTATGCTGATGGGTGATGGGTCATCTTTCTTACGAGATGATGTGGTGAGTATTCTTTGTAGCCTCTCCAGGCCAGGGGTCGATGCTTGAACCTGATTGCTTGCATGTGTTTTGCCAGAAATGCCCCTGTGTCGGTGGATAGAGAAGTTTTCTAAAGGATCGTGGCTTGTGATTCTATCTTTTCTTCAATTGAAGAGTTTGTTGGTGGAATGCTTTGTGTTTGATGAATTGTGCCCTTGAGATATCGGGCAAGAAGGATTTGTTCAAGGAGGATCGTGGCTTGGCACTACAAGAAAAATGTAAATTTCTGACGAACATAATCCGTCGGTAAAAAGGAATATCCGTCAGAAATTCTCTATTTCTGATGGATTTTCAACATATACAAATGTGTCAAAAAAATGGGAGTTAGAAAAAAAAAATTCGTCGGAAACAATAACGAAAAATACCTATTATCTACATGATTATTTATTAACATATAAGAATTATAAATAAAACAAAATAATAAATAAAGAAATAAATAAAATAATAAAATAATAAAAAACAATAAATAAAATAATAAATAAAATAATAAATAAAATAAATGAAAACAATAAATAAGAGAGAAGAATTTAAAACCTTCGAAGCAAGCATTTTATAAGGGAATATTTCCAAATGCGTGCAAGGCACGTTTTGGTAACCGTTCACTCTACAAAATCTTCACTATCACTTAGAGATTCATAGAGAGGGGGAAGCTATGTAGCTTTTCTTTCCTCTAATCCCTTGGCTAGAGGGTTTCTTATATAGCCAACTAGGAGACAGAAGCATGAGAGAGTTATTCGATGTGGGACTAAAATTTATAAAAATACAATCTTTTTCTAGGCACTATGTAGGACCTCTAGAGAACTCGTTAACCATCGAATCATGCTGGTTTCTTTATGGTATCCTCACCATATATTGATCTTCAATTTCAACGGTTGGATAGTTGAAATTAGGTCTTTAGTGAGAGATACTATCATAACAAAAACGATGTCTGGTATAAGACTCATATTTTCTAGCTGCAATGCGTGGCCTCTAGAGAAATCATTAACCATTGGATCATGCTAAAACGTTGATGATATCTTACTAATACATTTATCTTTAACTTCAACGGTCGGATTGTGAAAATTAGGTCTTTAGCGAGAGATATTATCAAAACAAAAACGTTGCCCAATGCAAAATTTTCTGAAAAGGGGAATGGGTCGTTCCGATTTTGGAACGGCCGTTCTGCGCCCTGGATCAGTTTTTTTGAGTTTTCTAGGCCTTCCAAAGCCATCTTGGCCCGTTTAGGTGCTCTATTGGGCCCTCAAGGGTCGTACGTGCTAATTTTTCCAACTACAGTGCGAGGCTTCTTGAGAACTCGTTAATAAAACGTTTGATCATGCTGAAATTTTGATGGTATCTTCTCAATAAATTTATCTTTAATTTCAACGGTCAGATCATCAAAATTAGGTCTGTAACGAGAGATATTATCATAACAAAAATCCTGCCCAACGCGTTGGGCCCCTCAAGGGTCATTTGTCTCGCTCTAGTAGACATTTGTCCTTGGTTTGGTACCCCGGAAGAAATTGGGTGTCTACATAAATAAAATAATTAAAGAGTATTTAAGTAGAAAACTACTCTCACCTTATAAGTCTCACATCTCTTAGAAGATAAGACAATTAAAATAATAAAGAAAAATCTCAAGTTTCACATCATTTATAGATAAAACAATTAAAGAGTAAATAAATAGAGAGCAACTCTCACCTTACAAGTCCCACAACTCTTAGAAGATAAGATAAGATAATTAAAAAAATAAGGAAAAAATGCAAGTTCGACATCGACTATAGATAAAATAATTAATTACAAAATATGATAATTAAAAAAATAAGAAAATTAAAGAATATATAAGTAGAGGTCAATCTTCATCTTATAAGTCTCACATCAACTAGAGATAAGGTAATTAAAGAGTATAATGAATCATTTCTTAAACTTTTAGTGACAATAATAAAAAATATTAAATGCCAGTAAAAAATGTCATAAAAATTTATACATTTTTTCCGACCATTATAAGGATTTTTACCAGCATACAAAATAATTGTTGTTAAATGTTTTATATACAATGGCTAATATAGAAATATTGGTAAAAAAATTTGTAATAATTTTTATTACCACTAATAAAAATCATATTAAATGCTATTAAAAGTTATTTTATTGTTTTCAGCGGGAACAACTGCCAATACCTAAAATCTCCATTTGCAATTGATTAAGTGTGTGTTTGTGCGAGTGGCTGCAAAATTGATTTTGAAGTTGAGTGTACGTTTAGATTTTTTTTATTTTGAAAGCAAGTTAATTAGTAGTAAATCACAGTATTAAACTTTTTATCCAATGTAAAAGCTACTCAGTATTGTCTTTAGACCCAAAATCAATTCCTCAACGTTGTACCGAACGTGTGAAGTATATGTTTAGATTCACGGTGGATTACCAAAATTATGTTGAAATACCAGCTAACATGATTTTTAGGGAAGTTTTAACATGTTTGGTTTCACCATAAGAGATTAATATGAGTGCAAAATCAATTGAGTTGAAGCAACTTTAGGTAACTTTTGTACTGGATCAAAATTTATATACCGGGTGCTAACTTGCCTTTAGAATAAAAATCCGAACGTTAGATTAAGTTATTTCAAAATCAATTTTTCAAGCACTCATCGAAACACACGGATATTTACCTAAAATCATGTAAGCTTGTGTTTCATTTGTGATATTTGATGATCCAACATGAATCCAAACATTCATTAAGTGCATGTTTTGCTTTGTTTGGATTTTTGTTTGATTATAAGCTGTTTTGTCAACAAAGTAAGCTAATCTAAAGAAACACTAACAAGTCTCACAATTGCTTTTAATTATTTTTGAGCTGGAAATTGCTTGCTTTTGAATCTCAAATAGTATACGGTCATTTGGCTGATTCTGATCTAGTGATTGTTGGCTGTTTGTGCTTATTTATTTCATTTCTAACCATGCAGGATGGAATGTTATTCTTTCTGAATCTGGAAACTTTAATATAGTGTGTTTGGATGGGGAATTTAAATGGAGTAATTCATTTATTTGAAGAATTTTAAATTCTTTGAGGTGAAATACCTTGTTTGGATGAGTAATTTATAAGGAATTTGAAATTCAAGAATTTGTGAAATTCCTTAAAATAGTAGAATTTCAAATTCTCCCAAAAGAGTAAGAATTTGAAATTCCTTATATTTTTTTCTTCTTATTTCACTTATATATTTTATTTTATCTCTTCATGTTTTTAATTGTTGAATATTCAAAAATATTTTTAAAATTATTAAATATCATCTAATATTAATTTTTAAAATTATTAAATATTTAAAAATTAGCTAATATTTATTTTTATAAAATTTAATTTAAAAATTTCAACATATAAATATATTTTTAAAATCAATTTTATCATGGTGGAATCAAATTATCATATCCAACCTAACAATTTAAAATTTGAAAAATTTGAATTGACTTATCTAAACAAAATATTTTAAGAATGATAGAAATTAAAATCAAAGTAATTCAAATACCAAGAATTTAAAATTTCTTGAATTTGTAAAATTTCTCATCCAAACACACCATAAAAGTTATTAATGATGGTGTTGTAATTGCTCGATCCATTGAGCTTTCGGATGCAATTGAGAATGCAGGTGCCATCCTAAATTCCTAATACAAGAGGTTGATCATGGTTGTTAGGATTTTGCCTCGGGTTAAATGGATAAAATTTGAGACTAAATAAGTAACTAGAGATGTATTTATAGGAAGGTAATTAAGAGAAAAGACCCTTTGAATAATAATATATTGAGTACTGTTATAATTTGTTCTTAAAATGTAGAGCACTAATTGTAATCCTAATTCCTAATTAATTCGTGAAACAAATCATGAGACAATGAAATGTGGTAATCGATCCTAAGAGATAAGGGGGAATAGGAAAACTAATCTTGAAGGAGATAGTCTATGTTAGATACCCTAAAATATGATAAGATATTTTTTATATATTCTAACAGATAATATTACTCAATAACCAGTGTCAATCCTTGTTTTTCCCTATTACAGTTGTTATTTTTCTTTTTTGATTGGGCTATGCAGTTGAGTGCCCCACTCTGAATTATTGCAGAGGATATCACTAGCCAAGTGTTGGAAACCTTAGTAGTGAACAAAATGCAAGGATTACCAAGAGTTGCAGTTGTAAAACGTCCAGGATTTGGAGGCGCAAAGAAAGCTTTATTACAAGATATTGCACTTATGACTGGTGAGTTCCTACAGAATTTGATAAGTGTGGTTGATATCTTTGCCAACTTCCTCTATACTAGGGTTATGCTTCCTATTTTTGAATTCTTTTCATGAAGCCTATGCAATTTGTTTTAGTGACGAGAAACGTTTATGTCATTGCTTTTTGTTTTCATTTATTATTATGAATTTGCTTTAATTCAGCAGTTTGACTTCCTTGGATACTAATGTGATGTCACCTTGTCATTTAATAACTGCGTAGCTCTTGCTGCCAAGATTTGCAATCCACCTGTTGATCTTTCAGGACCTCAGTTGACCCGTTAATAGAAATAATTATTGATCTTAAAGACTTGAAATTACATACATTCTATGGGATGATGTTCAATTTTGGATTTTCTTTTTGTACGTTGCATGTGACTATCTGTATGAGGAAAATTGGATTTTTTTTTTCTTCTTAAATATACCCATTATGCCTTTTTTTGTTCCCATATCTTTGGAGTCTTCTGACAAGTCTCGTTTAAGATCAACACACTTCTTCTGCTTAGCTTGTTTGACCTCATGTTGTCATTAACACCACAGGTGCTGATTTTCTTTTTGGAGACATGGGTCTCATACTTTATGGTAAAACTTCAGACCAGCTTGGCACTGCAATGAAAGTGACAATAACCGGTAATGCAACAGCTATCAATGCTGATCCTAGTACCAAGGCTAATTCAGGCTAGAATTTCACAGATAAAGAAGGATCTTAGTGAAACAGATAATCCAAACCTGTCAAGAAAGCTTTAAGAGAGAAATCCAAAACTCTTTGGTGGTGTAGCTGTTATAAAAGTACATAGTTGGCTAATTCAATAAAAATATCATGAGTTGTCTGTATTATGCTAACTTTGGCTCTTTACTTTGCTAATGTTGCTTTAGCACTCTTACTCTGTTCAATTGTCCTAACTCTGAGATTTATATTTTATTGGGTTTTATTGGATCAAAGTGTTTATCATGTATTTCAACTTGCTTGTAACTTGAGAAACGGAACGATGGCTGTTTGTCACATAGTTGCCTTCTTGATATGTTATCTTTACAGAAGTGGGATCCTATAAAAAGTTTCACTTCTATATCATTCATGTTATATTTATAGTAAATAATATATTATATATTTGTTACTTATCTCTGCATTAATTTTCTTTTTCTACTTTTTAACTTTCTTTTTCCCGAGTCAAATCAAATATTACAATAATATTTATATTATTCAATTAACCAATAAATCAAAATGCCCGTTGCTTGTCAAATGACTCAAATCAGAATTGTGGTCATTCTATTTTTTTCTTATCAATTGTTATAGGGTTCTGTTTCAAAATTGTATGAGATTGGGGAAAAATTAAAGATAATATAAAGGTAGATTCTGGATCTCACACCACATACAGTTCCCGCATAACATTCACAACATTTTTGTTTGAGGATGAGCCTTGACACGTCAGTAAGGTCGGTGCCTTGTAACTTGGAACAGGTTTAAATTCTGGAAACAGACTGTTTGTTGTGGGAGCCTCATGCATTGGGTTGCCTTTTTATCCATAATATTTTTGAGCGAGGAGTTCAGAAAATAAAAAATACTAGTAAAAGTATATTTTGAATTGCTTGCTTCGTATACTTAGTTATAGGAGTTAGTTCACTCATTCGGTATGTTTAAAAGTCCTACATTACTTAGGAATAAATGTTAAGGGTAGTTTATAAACATTTTTCTTCTTAACTCATTAAAACATCTTTTCAAAGACAAATTTGTAAAGGTCTAACAAGTATTAAAGCAGACAATACCTTAGATACAATAATTCTAACGATGTCAGTAGATTTACAATAGGAATAGAATGAGGGCGTAGGGTACTCTTCATCCTTAGTCTCAATTGAGAGGATTGTTCTAATATCTGATTTATTTCAATACCTTAGACACAGTGACCCTAACAATGTCAATGGACCTACGGTCAAAATAGAAGGAGGACTTAGATCACTCTTAATCCTTATCCTTGATTGGGGACTTATTTCGATATGTCTAAAAATCTCATATCATTTAGGAATCAAGATTGAAGATAGTTTATAAACAACCTCCCTTTTTAACCCATCAAAATGGTCCAACAAGTGTCAAAACAAACTATATCTCAGACACGGTGACCCTATCAATCTTAACAATCTTAACAAACTTATAGTCAGAACAATTAGTATTGGAAAGTCCCATATTGCTTATCTCAGTGCGGTGCAGTTTCTATACCCCTACAGTCGAAACAATTAGTATTGAAAAGATCCATATTCCTTATCTCAATGTGGTGTAGTTTCTATATCTATTGGACAATTTCACTTCATGTCAATTGATTTATAAAAGTAACAATTAACTTGGAACCTATACAAGAATTGAGGTATTTATCATGTGATTCTTGTATGTTACGCATGAGATAAAGTAGGCCACTGTGTTAATTACACCAGTCTTAGTTACTTTTCATTTGTTTTCCATATTCACAATTCCTGATTCCAATTTATGATACAGAAAGAAACAGCTGTCATCTTAAATTTTGCCCACAATATGTTACATATTGTTATTTTCATGCTCAAGTGTTTATTACAAAATGCAATAACCAATTATGTAGGAAGGCGCACATAACTGAGCTAGAACATTGAAGATAGAAAACTCAGAATTGGGGACGCAAAGAATGCAACATTTGAATTGAGGATGCAAAGAATGCAACATTTTCTGCCATAAGCGAGGGAATTGTTCCTGGAGGGAATGCCACGTATGTCCACCTGTTGGACTTGATACCAACAATAAGGAGTACTCCATGGAAGATCTAGATGAGCAAACTGGTGCTGATATTATAGCAAAGGTATATTACATTTTTTACTCTAGTAGCTGTCTCTCTTATCTTCATATATTTCTTCTCCTATTGATTTTACTTTGAAGTGATTGCTATAAGATTATTTTCATGTAAAATGTTTCTTTACATGAAAAAGGAGACAACATTAAATTAGTCGAATGTTGACTTATTATAAGGTTTGTATTTTTTTGAACTCCAGGAAATTTGCGAGTTTTCTTTTTTAAATTCTTGTTTTGATTGTAATTGAAAGAAAAGCATTTACTTAAAATATATATATAT